GTTGCTCTTGGAGGCCAGAGAGGGCATTACAGCTTCTGAAACAGAAATTACAGCATGTTGTGAGCCACGATGTGTGTGCTGGGAATTGACTCAGGGCCTCTGGAAGAGCAACCAGTGCTGTTAACCACAGAATCATCTCGCTAGCTCCTATCTCAGGTATTTGGTCACAGCAACAAAAACCAAGTTTACACAGATGTGAAAAGCAATGGAAATGGGAGGATGAAATAGAAAACAGTAGAGACTGAAATGTGCAGTCAGAGAAAATGAGGGCATCACATGGTAGTAAAATGTGAGCCTCACTTCCCATGTGCAAATTCCTCTCTAGGTTGATGTGAGCCTCACTTCCCATGTGCAAATTCCTTCTAGGTTGAGGAACTGCTCATTAAAGCCTCCCAATAAGTAAGTGATAGCTTGCACAGCTTCGGAAAAACACAACGAAGTTATCTGGCAAGGCCACAATTTGCTCATGTATACTTAAAAGACAAAAAAAAAAAAAAAAAAAAAAAAAAACCCAGTTCCACATTTTGGCTGATTCTGACATTTCACCTTAATAACTAACTAGTGAGTCTGGAACAAGACTTGACTTAGTGCCTCATGTAGGTCAAACCCTTTATGGTCACTACTGTCTTGAGAATACAAAGTAACCCCATCTTATTGAAGTATGTTGCTAATCTTTTAATTGATATTTCCAGCAATTAAGAAAGTAAGAATTAAAATGAAAAATACTTTAGCAATAAAGGAGACATTATCAATGGAATCTTTTGAAAATACACTTTAGACTTCAGGGATTTTAATTTTTATGGATTTAAAGTTTTACCTTAAGCCATTTACTTATATTTTTAGTGGAACTTTATTCTCTGCAAAAAACGGAGCTAACAGTGCCTACTCTTAGGACCATGGTTGATTAAACAAGGATTACACACAGGAGGTTAACTTTGTATTATGGTGGTCATATGGCTAGAGGCAGTTTCTGAAACTCAAGGTCTTTTCTTTATTGTTCCTTAGGGACAGTCATGGCTAGACTTTACAAAGAACCAGAACCATGGGGCTAGCTAGGTAGAACAAATTAGCTACTTCCCAACAGATCTGGGAGTCTTTTTAGCTTCATACAGTCCCTAGAGGTATTCCAATTCACAGATGGACAAAACAAGACTCAAAAGTTAGTAAGATAGGGAAGCAGATACCCTCTCAGGGAGGCAGGAAAAAGTAAACCTGAATTACAACCTGAATTACAAGGGATGGAATTCTATCATGTCTTAGGAGATGTGTAGGCCTACCTCAGAAGCAACCTAGTCACAATTATGACGACTTGCAAAGCACGGGAGATGACTAAGAACTCTGATGTAGTCCAAAAGATGGTACAACACTTTGTGCTGGTAACTTCAAATGAAAACTCTGAGTGACAGAGGCATAGTCTAAGCAGTGCCATCTTCTGCCTGAAGAGGGTTGCACCAAAGTGTATTCAAATGGTAGTGGTACAGAAGGGATGTCCACAGATCCTATTCCTGAGGAAGGTTTTAAAAGCTGAGTTCCTTGGAGAGAGGTTATACAAAAGGCAAGAACTGAAATCATCTAAAAGGTTGAGAAAGGAAAAAGGAACATCAAGAAGGGCCTGTTCATCCTGTGCAAGCCTTAATTACAAGCTCTGACTTGAAGGTTTACCTTACACAAATTAACTAGGAATCACCTGCTTGGGAGAAGATGACTATAAATTCTCATTGCCAGTCTCTCATCTTGAGAATGAGACTGTATCTCACTGGCTTAAATGCAGTCAAGAAGGCTACTGAGAACAGTCCAGGGAAAGCATGGTTTTTGGAGATGGCCTTCTCAAATTCAAATGCTGAATGATAACCCTAGACAGATATGGATCTGTCTAGCTTCTAGGTAAGATCTTCCAGCGTTCCCATGTTGCATTTCCACTGGAGAGTTAACAAATGTGTGGAACATCATCCTGGTTCAATTGCCATTTAATCCAAAATTATTCAAGGGCTCATTCACAGTCCACTCTTGATTTTTATGTAGCCTCGATACAGAAAAAGTCATTAAGGTGGCAAAGGCTATTTTAAGTAAGTAGTTTTAAAGACTGGGGCATAGTTTGATGGTAGCACCTGCATAACATGTATGGGTTCATTCTCATGATCACATGAAACCAAACCGAAAAGACACTTATATTCCCAGTACTCAAGAGGCTAGAGGAGTCTTGAGTTTGAGGTTAGTTTGGGCTACGCATTACAAAATCTTGCCTCAAAGAGAAGTAGTAATGTGAAGAACCATTTCTAACACCCACATGACTACTTACAAATATTTCTTGACATCAAAGCAACTTTTTGCAGTCAACATGAAGGAAATAAGAAGTACAACTAGTTTTCTGTGGTTTTAAGTAGGCTTCCAGGAAAGTTTACCTTGTGAATATAAACAATTTTTTAGCAAGTATGAGCTATGTACTAACTCTATTGCTTAGAGATCAAAAGGGTATATATAGCTAAAACATATTGAAGTCATCTTTATTATCTAATAAACTTCAGACAATCAATTAGGGTAATTTACAAATGTTTATTAGAATAAGCTAACTATAAAATTATCAGGAATCCTTCCTTGAGATTGGATTTCAAATTCTATTTATCTGCAATACCCAGTAGCATACCTGACTCAAAGTAGATCTCAAACTATCTCATTTGTGTCTTGGCAATTACCCTAAAATTGTGGGGAGAAATCAGGTCAAAACTCACTGACTTTTATCTTGGGAAATGTCACGAAGTTATGAGCTTTGATGCTTCAAAATGGGAATAACTACAATTTCTGGTCTAAAGTAATTATTCTCTTAGAGTTTCAGGATCACACAGGCAAATTTATTAACTTGTCCAAGAACATTATAATTTAACAGAAATTCCATCAGTCTAAGTTATCCTACATTTTAAGGATTTATTCAGCCTTTAAGATGATGTGACTGTAGATGGCTCTACATCTAACCTGTTATGTATACAGGCAGCACTTAGTGGACATATATGTATATACATGTCCATGGTGTCTGTGTGTGTGAAAAGGTTATTTGTGAGGGCTGGGGAGATAGGAAAATACATTTCATACATAAAGTTGTCAAAAAGTAATGTTGGAAATTGAACCTAGGGCCTTATATATTCCAGACCAGTTCTCTACCTCTTAGTTCTACTATTTAAAGAACTTACTGTTATAAAGTCAGTTTGTAGTTTGCTGTAATGAGTCTGGCTCACTATTTCTTTGAGCTCACTGTAGTGAAGAGGTATTCACAGTTCTTTGACAAATATGAGATTTATAAGGGCATCCAAAGGCAGCCAGAAAAGCTGATTCTCTAATTCCTTTGTCCTTGGGTTACAAACACTCCATTTACCAGGAGACATGAATGGGGATATAAAGTCATGAGGGCCTAGGAATATGTGATTTTTTAAAAAAATGTATTTACTGCATGATGGTATCCTTTAAAAGAGAGGAAACACAAGTGAATATGAAGGCAGAGAGCTCTATGAGGCATTTAATCCCAAATGCTGGGCTTAAAGATGTACACCACCACAGACCAGTAGCAGCTATCTCAATGGCAGCAAAATTCAATTACCTGTTAACCTTTTATAATTCCACACGGTCAGCTTAAATACAAAGTTACTAAGAGAGACTCCCATGAGAAGGTATTCTTAGTATGTATTAAATGTAATCTCATTAGGCTTCCCAATGTCCTACATCTTTTCAATGCCCCATTTCCCATTTACTAATGACCAACAATACATGGCTGAAGTATGGAATAGTCCACCAGCATTGCCGCAACCATTAAATTCTAGAAATATACGGACATGGAAAAGATACAACATATTATGACTACTTTTAACCCATTGGTGTTTCTAAGGTTACTGAATGAGAAAAATAGAAATTTACGGGGGTGGAAGGCAGGTAGCAGATGGAAAAGCAGTGTCTTGCTCTAGAGTAACTTAGCTCCTAATAATGTCATTACGTCTACTGTTTCTATTTTCTAAATTCAATTATTCTAGTCTTTTTCACTTTGCTAAATACTTAATTTGCATTGAGGTTGTTGATAAAATCTTGACAGACGTGTGTAACTTCAGAATTTAAATGTTCAGATTCTTCCAGCCCAGGTTGTGAAAATGGAAATAAAGTTCTCAACATTTGCTGGCCGCCTGATTGTTCATGCTGCAGACTATCCATAATGGGGTAGAAATCCCAGGTAACAATGGTAAGAGTTCCTGGAGCCTCTCTTCCTCAGTACTTATTAGTTTTGTTGGCACTAGTGCTAACCAGTTCAAGCTAACCCTGTCAAGAAAAGCCTTTATTCTGATAAACAATCTGTTCTTGCCCATCATTCTACATATCCTAGCCTTCCAGCAGTCTGTCAAAAAAACCACAATGTAAAGACCTGCTATGGAGGTGTTAAACCTCTACAGATTAAGTGTAGTGTTTAATTACTTTAAATCAATCTTAAAGATTCCTTTATTCTTTTTAACCAAACGGCAAAAATTGATTCCAATCAAATCAAATTTGCAAATGGTGTAAGTTTTGTCAACTACACATGGTCTTTCAGAAAGTAGTTTTAATCAAAGGTTTAAAACCTGTACTTTCATGCTGGGAAGATGAAAAGCTGGTGAAGAAAGCCCTGAGCAGCAGTGATTACTTGCAATGTCTGTTCTGGGTGTGGAGTGAGGTATTCAGAGCCCTATGGCCAGTCAGTCTACCAGAATCAATGAGCTCAGGTTCAGTCAGAGACCCTGTCTCATAAAGTAAGGTAGACAATGACAGAAGAGGTAAAAGCAGACTAGAAATGACATATTTAACATCAGGAGCTTGTGTGTATGCAGACACTTGACAGACAGACACATACACTCATCTCTCATGACACAACCAAGAGCACAAGTTAGAGAGTGGGAAAATTTGATAAGAAAATTTCATTAAGTAGTTACCTTTGTATAAGATTATATGATAGTCATTATATGAAAAACACCAAGGAGAATACATTCAAGTTAATGGAAACAAGTCTTTATTAAGTAACTTTTAATATCAGAAAAATAAAACTCTTATAATTCTCTTTACAGCAAATATATAATATCAGTGCTTTGGCCATCTTAAGTTAAGGGCCCTTTATCATAAAATATATGGTTTTTAAACTTTACTCAAATTGAATTTATAATCCCTATGACTTCCCTACATATACATAACAAAAGAGTGTAGTAAAATTAGCAAATACTAAACTATATTGATAATTTATCATTCTTAGTTTGTGGTTTTTAGAAACAGTACACGCACCTAATATATGTCGATTCCTTGGCTTATTAGTTGCAGTGTACGATGCAACAAAATACAAAACACATGCTAGATGACATTCGTCCATATCTACAAGACGGCAGCTAGAGATTAGAATTCAATACTGACAATTAACTATCCTACAAGCAATTAGCATTACATCATAATATGCCATCAAGGCAACTTTTTTATACTGAAAAATCAAAATAAAAACCGTTATTTGTAAACTTTATACGAAATGTAACTCTTCAAGTGGAAATAAAAAATAAAGTTTGTCTATTTACTATTGAATACACATAAGATTTCAATTTTTGTTATACTGAGGAAAAAAGCTCTTTTGTGTTGGGAAAATAACGCTTCAAAAAAATAATTAGTAGAAAAAACCCACCAGTATAATGTTTTGTCCTTTCAATGCCAGCAAATTTGGGGACATACTGAGGATGAAGTTAAAACATCCACAGGTGAAATGTACAAGTGTGTTTTAAAGAAATCTTTGTGATTGGAAATAGGTTTGAAATGAAGTAAACTGATTGGAGGTTGTCACAGCTGCTTTCATGAATTATGCCAAGGGCATTATTATCTCCCTCCCCATCCCCTACATTACTAAAAAATAAAAATATATTTATAATGTGCAAGACAAATATGGATTGAACATAAAATGTTTCACATTTTGATCTACAGTCTAAATATTAATAGCTTGATCAGACTAATGAATGGAATGTTCGCATTCTCTTATTTTTTAGCCAATATAGGTGCACCCCAAAGCCCATCCTAAAATGGGAAAACCCAGGCGGCTATTTCCACATTCACCAAGGGAGGCAATGGGTAGGAATTCACAATCAAAGACAATTGTATTCCTGATCCACTGAACACACCAGCCTTGAGCACTCTGGGAGAGATGAAAGTCAATGTAGCAGTTTTTGTCCCAAATTATAACCAGTGATCTAGTAAACTGCCATCAGCCCTATTATTACTAATAAGTAATCACAATGCTTTAAAAAGTTACTTGCAATCCTGCAGAATTAGGCAGAAGTTGTTGTAAAATAAAAAACAAACCTGTTTTGTCAAAACTGGCAGTGTAAAGAAGGCAGCACTGGAAGTGTCAGTCATCTGTAATGCCAGGCACCCTCCATAAACTCTTCATGTGGCTAGGCTTTGGGACCCACTGGCTACAATCTCAGATATATACATTTTGCTCATAGGTTACACAGCCAAATAGAACTTCAGCTTTAACAACTCTTATACAAGCTATGTCTCTGAGTCTACAAGATAGTATTAATAATTCAAACCAAACTAATAGACAAGAGACCACTTAGGTTTAGTGTTACCATAGCAGCCTTTTTATAAGTGTACTAACAACTTTAGCCTAATCCCAATAAAGCCTGATAACAGTCATAAGAATTCATTAGGAAGTTTACTGGGGGTACCATTATACCCATGCCTTTACGAGTCCATATAGAGATATAGTATTTATGTATATATATATAGTTAAGAGTGAATTTGGATTGCCTGAGTAACAGCTGTCTGGCAAACTGGACATGATGGCGTTCTCTTTTCACATATCTTGTTGGCACATTCCATGCAGAAGAGGTTGTGGCCACATGGAACTAGGGCAGCAATAACTTCATTCTCAAAGCAAATCACACAGTCGTGCTTTCTTCTTGATTCTGGAGGTGAGCTGGAGGTGGAACCACCATTGGAAGAGGAGTAACTATTGGTACCGTTAGAAAAAGCAGGGATGTATATTGGAAGGCCAACATGGTTGCCTGTACTAGGGGGGTCGCTCCTAACCCTCCGAGCAAGTGGATGTTCTATGCTCTCAGGAAATGTAGGAGACAGACGAGGAGTTGATGGCTGACTTCCTCTACGCTGAGTCTTCATGTTACCAGAAGGATCACTCCCAAAGCCAGAGAGTGGGTTAACTGGTTCAAATGGAGTCCAGATAGTTTGAGCAGATGTTGGTAAAGAGTCAAAGGCAGGAGAGTCTACTGCAAGATCTTCTGAGCCTACAGATGGTAGTGTATCTCCAAACCAAAAGTTTCCTGTGCTAAAAGGGCTTGTTGGACTAAAGTCAGCCAGCCTATTGCTTCCAAAATAGGAATCAGTGGAACCACTTCCTAGAGAACTAGAACTATCATTTCGATAGTTGGACATCATTCTTGCACGGCTAGGAGGAACTGGATTGGAAGAAAGCCATGCAGAGCCAAGAGTGCCACCTTCAAAGCTCACGTCAGTACCGTTATAATGAAAATCATTTTCTTCATTGAGCTCTATATAGTTTCCTGTACGCATAGCAATATGCATTTCTATTTCTTCTCGTGCTCGATCAACATTTTCGGGCATCCCTGTCACTTCAAAGACCGGCTCCTTATCTCTGCTTGGAGTTACTATGTATGTGTGGGTCTGTTGCTGAATTCTCTTAATTGTTGCTCCTTTTGGTCCAACTACTAGCCCTACCACACGATAGGGGACCCTGACTTGGACTGTAGTTTGACCAGGCAGATTAGGACTACAGGATAACCCTCCCAGAGCAGGGCCATTTTTGTTTCGAGATGCACGAATCATAGAGAAGTGCTCTGCAGCTGAGAGGATTTCTCTTTTGGCCATGGCAACATCTTCTTTCCGTCCAGTGACAACAAAAATGGGCTCTTCACCACGAACAGGTGTCTTGATATATGTGTTTGTCTTGGCTCTCAGTGCTTTAATTTTACAACCTGTTAAAAGAAAACATTTCAGAATCAGTATCTACTTTAATCTGCTTTGCTCTTACTTATTAGTTACTTCGAAAGATGTACAAAGTAGTCTATATAGGAAAACTATATCATCAGTAAGATGGAGTTTTATAATACTAATGATTTTCTACTTTGCAAAGATGTTGGTGGCAAGGAAAGTATTAAATGTAACTGAGATTGTTAACACTGTCTTGCATTAACTGGACTCAGTGGGTTATTAAAACATATTACAAAAATATTTAATGCTTTATTTAGCCTACTTAGAACTCTAGCCTCTGGACCATTACTTCACTTTACTAAGGAAACAAAACTGAAGCTCAGAAAAATTACATAACTTGTTTACAGTCACACATCAGTGGCAGAGCCAGAGTTAAGCTGTGTGTAATGTAGAAATCTATGATATTTTCATTATTTCAAGATTTTTAATTTTCACATACTCTGACTTTCACTTGATTATTTTATTGTTTTAACATGATTCCTTTGTAAAATTCTATTGAAAGCAACAATCATGGCTAATGGCTTTCTTTAGAACCCAGTTAAATTTTAGGCTTAATAGTTGTACTCAGTCATATAAATTTTATAAATTAAAAACTAATCTGAATATTAAAAAGTGTAATGAAAAAGCCTTTAAAAAGTATATGGGAGATAACACAAAAGTGTAGGATTTAAAAAAGCAAAATAAAAGCTTTGGTTTCCAACCTCCAAGTATACCTAAAATAAAACATGGAAGACACATTTAACTTTTCATAATTAACTCTTAACTTTAAATCAATTGTTTTTGAGTGATCGCAGAATTATAGTACCAATTATGCATGTTACATAAATTTCCAAATTGTCAAATGCACAACTATGGCTTAAATCTCTGGAGTTAGTTTTCAAATAAATTAACAAGCAGATTCCAAGAATATATTCATTCTCATTATATCATACCATTATTTTCTCAAAAAAAGAAAAATTAAAGAAGGTGGTACTACTGAAAGACAGCAGCCACACTTTTGGCAGATCTTTTTCTTAAGCCTCCTTTCCCCCTTATTGTCCCTGACAAGTCATTAATGGGTAAAAACTAAGGCTTTACATAATTAGATATATAATTTTGAACCCACATGCCTGCAATACATATCTACAACTCCAATGTCTCCAATTTTACTCATATTCTTTTTATTTTCTCTAATAGATGATTTCTCAATACAGCATGGATTATATGGTCATTTCTTTGCACAGAATATTTTACTGGTTCTTGATGCACTTAAAAGTCCAAACAATATGGCACACAAAACATTTCTTCAGCTGGTTCCTGACTTTCTAACTTTCATTCTTCCTACACCAATTCCTCTATTCTTTTAAACTTTATAGTATACTTCAACCTATGGCACATTCATGCTTCCTTGTTTCTACGACTAAAATCTTCCTTCTTTGCATTTTTAATTTCTGTTTTGTTCAGCTCCGATTAACCCTGATTTTGGTTTAGATACCTTGTCCTCAATAATGTTCCTTCTCTGCTATAGCTATCTATCTATCTTCTAAATTATCAAATCATGGGGAAAGTGAATATCCATATATACTACTTAGTTGCCATGTAGTATTTGTGGAAACAAAGGTTGCTAATTTTCTGTATTAGAATACTGGGCCTGTCTTACATGTTATTTTGGACTCCCAACCTCCTTTAATTCCTGGCTTTCAAGATATTCATCTTCTGGTCCCATACTGAGACTGTCCATGCAAATTAAATTACAGCATATTTAAACAGCTTAACCTACTATGGAACTTCTGAATCCTAACCTAATTAACAAATTAATCTGGGTCTTGTTCTCCTTCCAACAACTGTGGAACTTAAAAAAATGGCCTTTTCACTCTGGGTCCTAGGTACATTACCATGAAAATCCAGATTTGGGTTCTCTGAAACCAAAATGTATTCAAGCGTCAATGAGTGTGACATTAAGATGGAGCAACTTTTCCTCAAACAACTTTCTTAGGTATCCTATCTTCTTTCATTTTATTTGACTTTCAGAAATCTTACTGCTGGCTACATAGTTTAAGAGAACAAGGAGAACCTAAAACTATACTACTAGGTAAAGAAGAAACAAACAACATTCCTCAGCTGTAGGGCTCAAACTAAAAATTTAAGGAATGCATTGAATTTAGCACATAGGGCTATAAGGAGGAACTAGTTTGGTGGGATCTATCAAGAAATCACAAGTAAAACATATTACTGTGAACCATGAAAACTTTTCTAAGTGCTACGGTAAGACTTCATCTACAATCAACTATATTAAAAATACATGGGTGATGGTTATTTTTGAATAAAAGATGAGTTAGATTTGTTTTTACTGTACAATAAAAATGATCTGGGTGATCCCAGTCATTTTTTTTTTTCTCCTTTGTCTCTACAAAATCAAATCTTCCTCATAGTAGGTGCTGCTTGGGGCTGAGGATTGAGATCTCAACCCAGGGAGATGCCTAAGAAAATCTGAAAGGAAAAATACTTAAGAGTATCATTCAGTTACATGAGTTTACACTGGAGGCTACAATTTGGTAAGAAGGCAGTCCCCTAAACCTCATTCCTGAGCTGCAGACATGGCTTGGTGGTTAAGAGCCCTTTGTTGCGTAAGCATGTAGACTTAAGTTCAAAGTCCCAGTGACATGTGAAAAGCTACCGCAGGTGCACTTGTAACCCCAGTGCTAATGGATGGTGGTGACAGGATGATCTCTGGAGTTTACTGGTTATGAGCCTAGCTCCAGGTTCAAGGAAAAGACTGTGTCTCAAGGAAAAAAGGCTCCTGTACACATGAGCATCTAACACACACACACACACACACACACACACACACACACACACACACACACACACACACTGAAAAATAAGACCTCATTCCCAGTAACAGACAGCTCTGGTTCATCCTACAAAAAACAAAACAAAAACAAACAAAAAAAAAAAATGCAATTTCTATTAAATGCAAAGCATTTTTAGAGTTTATAAGTTTGTTTCCTTTTGATCTTTTGTAGTATCAACCAACAGAAAATTAAGATACCTTTCTAAATAGCTACTGCTGAGGACTGGGAGAATAACTTAGTGATACAGTGTTTGCCCAGCATGCAGGAGGCCCTTGGGTTCAATCCCTAGTAGAGAGCAGCACATGCACACCCCAACCAAGACAACAACAAAACACACCACCCAGACAATAATCTGAGTAACTGTCAGTTCTAGCTTACAGGCACATAGAACACCCTTTTGACCTATGGTTGGGACTAAAAAAACAGGTGTTTAATGCAAAGTCAGAGGGAAAATAGAGGATACATTAGCTTTAAACCACCTGTGATATATAGGAAGGTCATTGCCCTGAACAGTAACACACTTTGGTTTTGCAGAGCAGGGGAAGGCGGTAAAACAAACAACAGTAAGACCAAGCCTTTTAAGCCATATAGGTAAGTACTTCTCTCTCCCTAATTTTTATGACAACTCAACACAGACTGTGGGAAACCTCACTTATCACAACATGGCTTCTATATGGCATAAAGATGCTGAGTTATAAACATGATTTCTATAATTATATTACAAAGATGAGGTAGTTTTCAAAAGGTAAAGTTAACTTAAGGAGAAGGATTAATTTTATAACTTCTTTGCAGGTAGAGAGGAAAAGAAAGCTTTATGGAGAATTTAATCTTGAATTTCTGTTAGAAAATTCAGATACTTTAAAAAAAATAATGGAGGAATAATGGACTGATGCAAAACAGAAGCAACAGGGTACTGATAAATTGTGGTATATTTTAAAAATAATTGCTGCATGGCAAAAGCCATAAAAAATGCTAAAAAGTTAAAATGTTTATAATTCGTCTCTCAAGGGGCTAACTTTTTTGCATACCCAAATTTCTCTATTATAATCACCAAATCCCAAGAGACAAAGAGGTAAAAGAAATAGATTACAGCAAAGCAAGCAAGTTGCTTTTAAGATGAACACTTTTTTTGTTTTTTGAGACAAGATTTCTTTGTGTAGCCTTGGCTGTCCTAGAATTGGGCTCTGTAGACCAGGCTGGCCCTGAACTCACAGAGATCTTCATGCCTCTGCCTCCCAAGTGCTGTTGATTAAAGTTGTATGCCAGCATTGTCCTGATAGATGGAAATTCTTATTTATACAGCAACTAAGCTAATTTTCCCACCTACTGCTGTCAATGTCAGCATTATAATACTGAAAGTGAAAGTGGGATGAGGAGACCATTATTTAGTTGGTGAAGGTGAACAATTACAGAAGTCAGTTTGTGCCCCTGTAATCCCATTTGTAGAGGTGATCCTGCAGTAATACTGGTGTTCAGTATTTTATTACTTATTGCTTGTGTAAGCATGAGGCTAAGACAGCTGTAGAATGGAATATAATGTATTCATAAAATTGGTTGAGTTGGATTGACAGGATAAGAGACATTTCATTGTGTACTCAAATTATAAATATGGTTAGAATATATGAATCTTACCACTTTTGTTAGCATTGCTGTGATTTTATATCAGCAGGATAAACGATTTCATAAGTTAAACTCAACTTTGCAACTCTTAAATGTACAGACTATTACTTGTTTTCTTATGCTATAGATAAAACCAGTATGTATCAAAGGTAGTTACTGGGTGGAAACTTGGATCAGAAATCTATGAGTTAAGAACTAGAGTATTAAAACAAACAAACAAACAAACAAAAGAACTAGAGTACTAATAAATTTTAGAGCTGTATTTTTGACTTAATTTGAAATAAATTCCCTGCAATAAAGCCTCTAGCTTACTTTGTTGGCATATGAACCCATTTTCCCTTTCTATCACTATTAGGGATATTTTCAGGCTAAAACTCTTCAACTTCAGCCCCAAGTTGTCCCCTCCCCTCCTTGGTATAGCATAACATTCGATTTCAATTCTCAAGGCTAAGAGACCTCTAAAGAAAGGGAGGCTCTCTGTTGTTGAGATTGGAGTTGGAAGGACTCAGTTGTCAAACCATGAGTTGCAG